AAAATACTTTCAGGTCAAATTATGTCTGCCACTGGAAATGGATCTCCCCCACCAATCCTGTGATAGCTCTTTCTCTATTCATAACGTCAGTGACTGCCTGCAGGTTCACACTGAGTAAGTGGTCCAACTTCATCTGTTCCCTTTCACTTCATCTTTTCAGCTAGCAGTGTGGACTTAAATACTATACTTAATAGAACTGAACAAAATTTAGGATATTATATGGAATTTATTAGTGGACCCAAAACAAAATTTAGGGTATTTCATGGAATTTAATTAGTGGAATCATAATAAAAATCACAACAAAAATTTTAACGATTCAACAAAGCCTTTGCCTTCTTTACTACATTTGTCATTCAAAAAAAATAACAACATGTAATTAATCTTAAAGCTGCGATGGGAATAACTTTCTGAGCAAATCTGATATATCCCAAAAGTTATAAAACTTAACTGCATACATTTAACAAAATGATAGAAATCAATTTAATTTAACTTGTTGTCATGACATGCTCTGTAGACAGAGGGTTAGCTATAAGCTAAGGTATAAATAACCAACCCAATAAGATACGGTGACCAAACATAAATACAATGATGTGACTTGGAATTTTAGTTAAAATGCTTCGATACGGTTGGCCAAATTTTGTGTTCATTATCCATTATTTCTCAAAATCTAGTCCTGCTTTTCTCTACTGTAATTATTGCTCAAACATAATCACGGCAAAGAAAACAGAATTACTGTGGCAAGGGACATGCAACAAACACATACAGTGACAGCTGAGACGGGAGCAGACTTTACACATGCGACAGCAGGCCGGCGGCGGACAGAGTCTTTCCAGGAAGAAAGCAGCGAAAGCAAGAGCTCGGAGGCTGAGCCCTGGCGGCAGAGCGACTTGATGGGGAAGGGAGAGAATGATGGTGTCATTACGATGCACAATGGCAAGATGGCACACAGGACAAAACCACGGTGGAAACGACAGGACAAAATACCACTCCACAGGCAGACACAACAGAGTGAAGCTAGACTTCCAAAATGTTTTCGAAGGCCCTAGAATTCATCGTAGAACATTTCCTGACTTTGTTATTTTTAAGATGAATGTTTTATGCAACTTAAACAGACTTGTTTCCCTTATGCTCACAGAGGAGACCTGAGGGCTGGTGCAGAGAAGTCACAGGCCCCCCGCCCTCGGACCCAGCCCCTGCTCAGAATACCTGAGCTTCCTCCACGTGGCTGGCGGGGCTGTGTCCCCTGCCTGCCTGCGTCCTCTCTCGGGAAGGGCCCTACCATCCAGCTGGCCTTCCCCTTCCTCCAGGACAGCTCTCAACCAGAGGTGACTCTGTCGCCCAGGGGACATCTGGCAATGTCCGGACACGTTTGCAGTTGTCACAACGGGAGGTGGGGAGGCTACTGTCATCTGAACAATCCACAGTGCATAAGACAGCCCCACAACAAAGTATTACTTGGTCCAAAGAAGTGACTACTTTTAGAAATTTGAAAGCTTGTATAAATGAACCTGAACAAGTACCAGTATTCGTGGGGTGACTCTGACATACTCAGGGCACAGGATGACGGATCCTCGAGAGGGAGCACAGTGCTGTGTCGTACTGAGGCTGTGCCTGGCTGGTCCCCCATTACAGCGTAAGCTCTAAGACAGGGGTTGCGTTATTTCCTCCTGAGGCCCAAAGCTTAACACCAGGCCCAGAACACAGCAGGCTTTTATGTCTGCTGAACAAATGATGTGAAAGGAGGTAAGAAAAAGGCCAGTGTACTTTAAGTAACTGACATGACAACCCAGTGGAAACCACTATTTTCCCAAAAACAGGTGGCAAGTACCAATCCTGAAGGAGAAGGCAAGGCTCACTGGATTTCTGGATGACACAGCATCGATGTGATTTATCTCACAGTGGAGCTGGTGCAGCGTACGTACATTGAGCACTCAATCTTAACCATCCGTGAAACCCCAAATAAACACAAAGCATGGATGTTTTTTAAAACAGAGCTTCAAACAGCAGAGATGATTTTGCTCAGTGTCCCATCGGTAAATAGGTACCCTGGAGTGGGTGTAAGGTTTGAACTGGCCATTTCTTCCAGTGGGTCTCAGTACAGGTTCCTGCGCCAAGTGGGGAACGACTCCATCAAGAACCAGCCTTCTAAGCTGTAGCCCCTTAACATGACATCCAAGCCAAACTGAAGGAAAAGCAATCTCTTCCAACATCAAAGGGAAAACTGCTCTGACTTCTGACAGCATCTTCCTGAGAGACACTCAGGGGAGTTTTCACTACAGGTGATTTTTGTCTTTTGGCTTAACTATTAGCCTCAGGTAAGATGGGATTTCACTGTATAAACAGGATACATTTTACCTACGATGGATCTAGTTGGTGACTTAGCAGAGAAAAAGTGAGGATTCTTTCAAATCCTTTCTGAACAATCCTAATTACAGAGTTACTTGGGGAGCATCTTGTATATTTCACCAATTTAAAATATTTATGAATGTTACATATGTCAGAATATATTATACATACTCACACAATTTTATTTGAATAATCTTACTTGTTTTTACTTAGTCCACTTAAATTAGTTTTCATTCCCTTAATATGTGTTACATGTGGGAAGAAAAAGGCAGCCTGAGAATTTTTAATTAGCTGTAAAATAAAAATTAAGACTTGACTATATAACCAAGTATCTTACCATCTGTTTAGTTTCCAAGATTATCAAACACAGTGTGACTGCATTTTATTTAATGACACCAATCTGAAGTGACTTATATTATTAATAATGCATTAATAAATTTTCATTTTAAGGCAAAAATTTGAACAGTGAATCCTTAAGTTAAAACTTCATTAAGAATTCTAGAATTTCAAAGTTGGCTAGCTCAGTGAATTTTAAACTACGCTTCTGCTATTACCACATGGAAACCCAGCAACACAATTTTAGCTGATGAACAAAAATACCTCACACCCTCTGTCAGCATTAGTTTTAATGATGAGTTCTGAATTATGTAAGGTCTTCAAGAGGACTTCATAAAATGCCACCAGCCTGTACTAATGGTTTTGCGCCAGCATATTCACTTAACATCTTCAAATTTAAAAAGAAATGTTTATTTTCTTTAAGTCACATACAAATCTGCCTACCTCAGTGATGCCTCACTGACCACAATGATCTGTCTACCTGCCTTATCTTTATGTATCACAACCTTCAATCTTTAAGGATCAATAATCACCAAATAAATGACCTATTATCCTGCTTTCTTCAGGAACTTTCTTACTTATTAGTCTCTAATTGCTTCTCCATTTCTTTTCTTTCATCCATTTCCTTTACTCAATTTCAAATAAAAGCTGAGCCACAAGCAGGCATAGTCTTTTAGTCTTCAGTCTTCTAAAAATGCATTATTACAAACCCAAAAAGTGCCCTGCTTTACCTTCGGAGAAAAAGGAGAAATAATTACCAATTTCCCTTAAGATTAAGTCAAAACAAAATTTCATTCTTTTAACATAGAAAGCACATCCCGGGTCAGTTCCACAGTCCTGGCTGTCCAGAGAACAAACCAAAGGATGAGCGCAGCTAAAGAGAAATGTTCCAGAACGTTCACACTCAAGCTCAATCCAGCAGCTATGGGGGTCGCTGTATCAGCGTATCTGAGGACTAGTGTGCTCTGTGGCTCTCCTGGTTCAGAACAACGTTACACGGCTGCATTATAAATGAAGACACTGAAAATTTGCCTGAGTTTTATAAGTGAATTTCTCTTTCATCAAACGTAAGGTCAACACGTCCTGTTAATTTTAAAGCAACTCAGTAATGATAAGAAATACTGGTTTAAAGTAAGATATAAAGCAGAAATTAGATTAATTTCATTTTTAAACTTTATTTAAGTATCGACACTTCAAACTTAATTACCAAACCTATTTTGGAAACATCCAGAGCATGGACTCTAGAGCCAGAATGGTACCCAGATCTGCCGCTTAGCAGTTATAAGACCTTCAGGGAGTTATTTAACTGTTTTACACCTCATTTTCTCATCTCCAAGGGGGTGCGGGGGTGATGAACAGCTGATCTCCCAGAGGTAAGAGGATAATACATACACCATCCTCCACATTCAGAACAGTACCTAATACATTTTAAGCATTCAAAAAGTGTTAGCTATTACGATGTGTCACAAATTGTAATTTTTGGTATTTGTATTACAAATAACCAAGGAGCAATGACAGTAAACACTCAAAATCCCACAAGTAATGGTGACATTTCATTCTTCTAAAAGCTGGCTGACGTCCTATGGAGACATGGACACGTGACCGGTGTCCAAGGGTCAGATTCATGGGGCGTGCCACTTGGCTATTTATTTTCTGACTAAATATCTGAAAGAGCAAAGTCACAAATACAGGAAAGCTTTCTCGTTCTGAAGAAGAACCAAGAAACGTATTTGTTCTCTAACGCCAAGCAGTAAGGCCACCTTTCAGTTCAATGGATAAAACAGATTTTAACAATACAATGAATCAGACTTTTCTTAAGTAGCCCTCTTCTGTCTCTTAAGAGTCAAAACACATCTTTGACTAAGAAACCTCCACTTACTCTTATTTGCACTTGAGCTGTAGCAAGAACTCTGGAATACTCCGCGAAGTTCTGCTACACCACCACCCACATGATCTGAATGCATGGAGCCTCCAAAGGAAAGAAATACTCACCCAGCTTGTGCTACTTCCTTGAGTTTTGGTAAAGAGCAAAGAGGAACCCTGCAACACAGCCCACGACGACAGCCAGTTCTTTCTGCAATTATAAAGATGCCCAATTAAAACTCTGCTATCCAGTTTTTCCAGCCAAATTTAAAAAATTAAAACCTCCTTAGCTACTCCCAATGTTGTCTACAACTTACAGTCATTACTGACATTCTAATTGCTGTTATTGGGGATATAATTCTAGTGGAAATCACAATCACTGTATGGTCCCAACTGACCATAAAGGTCCCAACACAAATGAAATTAATTACAGACATAAGTCATTGGAATAACACCTAATTGTTGAAAGTGTGTGAAAGTAACCCAGCACATCTGTGCTAAAGGGCACTAGTGTAAAGTCACGTGAACACTGCATTTTGGAAGAATTCTTATCCACAATTAAAAATTAGACAAACATGCGTATCTCGCCTAAGTCTCTGCAGATACAGATTGTGTTACATGTCTCAGTCATCTCCCTTCCCCTAACAAGGCTGAGCTAGGGAAGCGGCAGACAGCAGGCACACTCTAACTGTATGATAAATTACACACTGATCACTGAGGTTACTATTACTAAAATGAGGCTTTAAAAAAATTTTTTTCCTAAATTACAAAACCAACACATACACTATATCAAAACTCTGAACACAGAAATGTAGAGAGGAAAAGGCCCCCACTTCTCCTCCTCACCCCACACTCCAGAGGTAACCAATGTTTACCTTCCAAGGCCATTCTACTGCCGGCAGGCTAAAATGAACAGCCGAACATACGGCCAGTTTTGAGAAAACTCAAAGCAGCACATTTTCAGAATGTAGAATCTAACGCCTATCATTTAGACCTCCTTTATTATTTTACTACTTTTTACGTCTACTTGAAAAGTGGAGCAAAGTTTGCTGCTACTGAGTTTCTGTCCGTTCTTCCTTTTACTTCCTGTGGTGTTGCTTATAGGGCGTTACTGCTACTGACTCGGTGAACAGCTGTCCCTGACGGCGCTTTATTGTTTTGAAGATGCTGAAGACTTCTCCCCTGAATCGGACCTGTCTGCTATGAAGATCCCTATTCCTGCTCTACTTTTTACACCTTTGATTTGCCTGTTTGTTTGTTTTCTTCTCTGAACCATTTTTCAGATGTCTCTACTAGATACAAGAGAGTGAGGTTTTGTTTTGTGTTTCAGTCTGAGCACCGTTCTTCTTTCAATAGATGAGTACCTATTGATGATACTGACTCATTGATATTGATGTGATAGATGTATTTGGTACTTGTTCTGTCATCTTTTTGTTGTATTTTCATTTTATTTTATTATTTTGTTTTGTGTGGATCTCAAGATATTTTGGAAGATTAACTTTTTATATGCAAACTTACTTTATATTCAATATTCTATTTCTTTAGATCTACTAAGTCTCTCCTCTGAAAAATACTAAAATATATTCTCACTTTAAATAGATTTCGACTGGTAAATAAACTTTTTGAGTTTAATTTTCAAAATCAGAAAAACTGCAGAATATTTATATGAGAACAAATATTGAATATTTGAATACTGAACAAGTGACAGTTGCCTCAAGGACTGTGTGACTGAGTTGCAAACAGAATTAGTCACTTTTTTTCCATGGAACCCTATTTTTTTCCTGAAAAAACTACTGATGGATACACTATGGTTATTTAGATTTGAGTATCTGACAGGTAGACATTATCTCAAAAATAAATAAAGCAAGCCTGTCATTTCAAGGAAAATAAATGATAGCACTTGTTGACAATAACAAATTAAAGCTTTCAAACATAAAGCAGAATTTTGGAAAACTTGGCACATCTACCACTGTGAGGCTGACAATTTCCCAATATGTAGTGAGTCTGATGATGATATTACTGATTTGTGATTCTATGATATTATAAAATAAAATGTGACAACATTTGAAAAATCAGCAAACCTAGTAAACCAGTATTTTCCAAATGACATACAAGATGCTACAAAGTTATGTATGGGTAAAGATTCATTCAAAGTGCAACACAGATCTCTGGATTTTAATGTAACTGAATATGAAAAGTTCAGTGACAGTTTTTCAGACCCGTCACTGCAACTAACATTTATAGAACTCTAGAGGAGCAGCAAAATATGCACAATGATCTGAGAAGGCTATTAAAACACTCTTCCCTTTTTCAACTTAATCTATGCAAAGAATTTTCTTCATATCCTTCAACCAAAATAATGTCACAAAAAACCACAGAGATGAGAATCCAGCTGTATTCCATTAAGGCAAGTAATAAAGATTTCTGAAAACAAAACAATGCCACACTTGTGATGGAAATTTTTACACTAGAAAACACAGGGGGTTTGTCTTCAAAAAAATGTTATTCATGTTAACATTTATTAGTTATTAATTTTATTAGTTATTATTTTAAAAGTTAAGACTTAAAATGTCTCAATTTTAATTTCTTATAATAAATAATTAGATATAAACTATATAGACAAAAGTTCTTTGCAGTAATCAATAATTTTTAAGAGTTTAAAGGGGTCCTCAGAGTAAAATGTTTGATAACCACTAAAAATACAGGAAATTAAAACACCATTTTGCTCAACTCTATATAAATAAATCTAAAGATAATAAAGTGGATGATAGTCTTAGGAAAAACATAAATCACCAAAAGTATTCCAAAGTAAGCAGAAAACCTGAAAGACTAAATTGTCACAGGAAAAAGAAAACAGAAAGTGGCCAAAGACCTATCCACACTGCCTATGTCCAAAAGGGAGAAAGAGGAACATAAAGACTCAGCTCTCACGGCCTCTGCCGAGGACAGACGACCGCGGGATCTGCAAAGCGACCTCAGAGCGCTCGAGAGAACAGCTTCCTTGTGCCAGAGTCTGACAAAGTTCAGTAAAGCAACTCTGAAAACTCAACTACATGTAAATTTTAAACTCTTTCTTACACAACAGATTGATATCATCTTGGCTATAAAACCACAGCATTTCAGCAGTTTTTAAAAGCTGAGAGAAATGCAACTTATTTTACAAAGAGCTTATTTCCTTAACTCAGTAGGAGGTACTACTCGTTAACCAAAAAACCAACAACCCAAGAGAAAAACTGAATTTAACAACAACAAAAAAGAAAAGCAAATGGCTTATGTTACTCTCTCATTAAGAAGAAATTCAGATAAAAAATTCCATTTTTCCTCTAATCTCTATTAGCAAAGATCAACGAATTTGACAACATACTGAACGGGCAAAAGCATGGAGAAACTAAGGCGACTGGACAGTGGAAGTGACTCAGCGTGTTGGGACACAGTCTGGAATTCTATCAAAATGACCACTGCAGGTGGACCAGCAATCCCACTGCTGTAAAATTTACTCTACAGGCGGATCTACAACTCGCAAAATGAACTGTGCAAGACACTGACTGTGATACCGTTTGTAACAGCAAAAAAATGTACACACCCTAAATGTCTACCGACAAACAGGCAGAGTGACATACTCGCAAATAAGTAAGGTAAATAAACTGTGACACAGCCGTGCGACACATGACTGTGCAGCAGTTAGAAACAGTGCAGCTGCTCCACAGGCAACGGGACAGAACCACCTCCAAGACAAACTGTTACAAAACCGTGTTAAAACAGTTAATCTCTGTGCATACAAATATATGTATCTTCTATCTCTGGAGGAAACCAGTACATCTCACTAGACGTAACTGGTTGCCCCTGGGGAGGGAAACTGATGTACCTTTGTGTTTTGCCATGTGCATTCTTACTTACTGAAAAAAAATTTAATGAAGCTAATTGCTTGCTCAGAATCCTCTGCCTTATCACCTTAAGAAATATGTCACAACAAAAAACTTTTCCTGCACTTCATGACAATTCTATATACATCACATTAGAAAAAACATTATTTGAAATTCTTTGAACCTTTCAATCATTTCTACTAGAATTATAGTTTTTATTGATTTCAATCAGATGAAGCATGTGAGAACATTAATGATTTGTGGACTTACCGAACCTTTTTCCCATTTTCAGTAATTTTTGTTACATTTAATAATCCATACTTCTCTTGACCCTATGGTATGGAACAGAGGCAATACTGTTTATACATCATTCATATAGACAAGGAGGTCCAAATTCTTACATGTGACTGAACCAAACTGATCTGGTACTCTAAAAATCAGCTTCAAAGAAAAGATCTGTCAGAATATAATATGCTTAGTTCCAGGTACATTAAGAATATAATTTTCTAATACTTCTGTAGAGTTATTTTCAGTTATTTTATAATTAAACACTTGGTCTTCTCAAGTAATAGCAGCCATAAGGTTAAAAAAAATCAAATTAGATTTCCATATGAACACTGGAAAAATGATTTATGACTTCCTGTTCAAAGAAAGTGATACAAGGCTATAAAGATAAATACAGTGCTGTAACAATAAATATTACAAAAAAGGAATTATTTACTTTGCTGTTATTTCACAACAGTATAGTCTGAAATTAACTAGATGGAGCAAACGCAGTGACTGTATTTAATAAATTACTTAACAGTAGGCAGTACTCTGCATAGAACTGGCCTTAATGTGGCACAAAGAATCCAATATATGCTCCACTGGTCACATTATCAGACGGTGAACTGGGCTCTGGGCAAACCAGACAGATTAGTGAGCTGATGGGAAAACACTGACACAGCTTTATCATCAAACTCTGGGAAGGCAAAGCCACTGTGCTCAAACTGAAGGTTATCTTAACACTTTTCCAGGTGGAGGTGAGGCAGGACCTTCTCACTGCTTTAGCTTCTTACATTCAAATGAATTTAATCAAAGTGACTGGGTGCCCAGAGCAACCATCAGCATTAGTGAGTGAGTACAGCAAAGAGCAGTCAATTTCACTTCAACTACAACACACACGCACGATACACACACATACAGGAAAAAATATTCCCAGCTCAGAATTTTTTCCTAGCTATCTAACTCACACCTCAGCTATTTTCCCAATGTAATCAGGCCAAATCTTTCACATATGGGAGAGAACCATAATATTTATTGAGTATTTTCTCAATAAAGTCTAGAACATAATGTTTGAAGGTTTTGCCTGGTCTGATAAAAACTCACATCTACAGACAAAGTGGACAAACTGCTACGCTATTCGTTTTTGGATTACTGGGAGCCTGGGAAATAGCCATGTTACTGCAATTTTTTCACAAAGCATAGGCTGGATCTCCTTAGACATGCAAGTCTGAGACTTTCTTAGAGTTCTCTGTTGTCTCTCATGGCTGCGGGTGCGCACGGGAGGTTAAGTAAGAATACTCCCAATTTACTACCAGAAGCGGGGAGGGAAAAAAAGCCCAGTGACTGAGGAACCAAGTAACACTTGTCTGAGGGATGGGCACTGGTTATGTGCGCACAGGAACTGGAAGGGCAGAGGTGGGAACCTGCCTTTTGAAAACCGCTGCAGCTGGAAGGGTGCAGGGTGAAAAAGCAGAGACGGGAAGGGAATGCAAGCATCAAAGCAGGAAGGAAACTTAAGGGAGAGCAGAGATGAAAGATGGCCTGAGCCTCAGGGGAGAGACACCCTTGGCCAGGGATTCTCACCCAGGCCAGGGATTCTCACCCAGGCCACGGAGGGGCTGAAACCGTGCAAGACTGGGTGTGTACGTGCGTCGTTCAAGGAAACGGTCCAGAACGCTCCTGGAATCCTCACAGGGACCAGGACCCAAGTACTAACACTCTAAGTAGTAAGCACTCTAACTTGAACATAAAATAAGAACAAAACTGGCCACATCCAAAACACACAAATACAAAAACAACTACCACGCAACCTGATAAGTCTCAGGCACCTCCCCCACACACACACCCACCCGGGAGGGAGGGAGCGGAGGGAGGAGGAGCAGGCTTCCCGGGGACAGGACCCAGGGGCGAGGAGGGAGGAACCGGTGTTGGCCAGGGAACAGCAGCAGATGAAAAGGACAGACGTTGAAGGCACAGAAGCTCACAGCGCATCGTATCTAAGGCCCTTCCTGCTCCTTTAACCTACTGTGTGAGGTGGGGATACAGCAAGAAACCAGCAGAGGAGAGAATGAACTGGGGGAGGGTGAGGCAGGACCAACCTATTCCCTCCAACCAGCACACTCTGACCCTAAGAGATGCTGAAGGCCTGATGTGAGCGGTTCAGGAGCCAGAACTGATGGGGGTGCCCCGTGAGGGTGGGAGGGAGGGCCTGGGGAGGCTCCCAAGCTTGCGTGACTGGGCACACGGGGGCATCTCGGCTGAGCTGACGCTCAAGAGAGGCCTTCCCTGGTCCCTCAGGTAGGAGTCCTCCACCCTCCAGTGACTCACTAGGGCCCCCACTCTTTTTCCTTCATAGCACCTGATGCAGAGCACGGTGCAGTATCATTCATTCACCGTCTATGCCATCAGGCTGTACGCGGCGCTCATCCAGGTGTGGCGGCGCCCAGCACAGTGCCCAGCATGTAGCTGGTGCTCAATTCACACTGGCTGAGGTAATTAGCCAACAAAGTCGCTTTGCTATCACAGCAAAGAAACACAAGGAGAGAAGGTCAGTGAAGGACAAAACAAAGCTTCAACACTGCAGTTTCTGATTTTGATGCAGAAGTGATGAGCAGGCAGACAGAGGTTTGGTGATACAAGTGTGAGATCTGGGGGAAATTCGGACAGATTTTTATTTCATACCATTTGGTATACATTTGCTACTTAATGTCATTCAAAAATCAACAAGTGTTTGTGTGCAGCTTACTAAAATAACCCCATAAAAATACCTTGTTAAGTCTTGTAAAAATTACCCATATTCACCAATGAATATTTCTTAATCTAAATATAGCTGATACTCCAAAGGACACATCATGTTGAAAAAGGCAGGATATTTTAATAAGAACTAGCAAAACATAAAAAAAAAAAAGAACTAGCAAAATATGGTTACATTTTAACCAGAGAGATTGTAGTAAGATTATCCTATTCTAGTGAGGTAAGAAAAACAACGAAATGCCAGTTCTATTAAGTAACCTGGGAAAACTTCCACAGGCTCATCATCACTTTGAAGGGCCCAGAATTTTTCATCGATTTTGCATTCATTTAGTAAAATAGACTTTCCCAATTTTGGCTAATAGTTATCACATGCCAAAATTAATACTGCCCATTAAAATCTTTACCTCCAGTTAATCATGTCATAACTATGTAATAAAAAGATTATTCTATACTGAGTAAATAACCTTGCACAATGATACAGTGCTGAGAGAGAACCAGGGAGATCAAACGCCAGAGCAGGTAAATCCACACACACCCTTGAACTGTGGCTGCCTGGTGGGCGGGGGAGGTGTGTGCAGCAAGAGAGGTATGAGTCTCCTTTGAACGTAATGAAAACATCCTGAAACCAGGTAGAAGTGACCGCTGCACACACTGTAAATACACTAAATGCAACTGAATGATCTACCTTAAAATGATGTTAATGGCTACTACTTTTATGTTATGAGAATTTTACCTCAAAAAAAAAAGTTTAAAGAACCAGAGTTACAAAAAAAATTTGTTTAAATCATGTTTTTTAAAAAGGCTTTAGAATAGACTACCCAATGGGAAAAAAAATCAGCCAATTTGTCCGCTAATACTTTTGTTAAAGAACGTGCTGAAATGTCTTTTTCTGCAAAATGAGTAATGCATTTGAATACCATAATTAGAAATATAAGGTCAAAAGCTCAGGTTTCCAAATTGTGTGTTTTAAAATTTTATTCAGGATTAGGTCATTGGGAACTTTCAAATGCATATTCTCATAGGCACACTGGGACAAAAAGCGATTAGGTTCTTAGATCAGCCTACAAAATCCTTTTAATCCATACTGTAGTCATATTATAGAGAAATATATTACTGATTTTTTAAAAAATGTATACACTGAATATTTCAAAAAAGGACTTGAAGTGACTATAGAAAATAATAATGCATTTTAAAACTGGAAATGAAACAAGAAAAAAGGAAACATTTAAAATTTATATTGAGATGAAATTTTAATCCGATTTGATTAGAAGAGATTGAATGAAAACATTACCTTAAGTGAACAAGCCTGTCAAAAAAGACCACATACTATATGATTCTATTCATATGAGATGTCCAGAATAGGGCAATCTAGTAAGACGAAATACATTACTGGCTGCTTAGGGCCTGATGGGAGGGGAGGCAGAGGAGGAGACAGCAAATCACTTATTTTCAGAGGTGATGAAAATATCCTAAAATGGCTGTAATAATGGTTGCACAGATCTGAATATACTAAACACCACTGAATGGTGCATTTTAAGTGCGTGAATTGTATAGGATGTTATATTTCAATACGGGTTTAATAAAAACAAAACAAAAAAGATGAGATGGAAGAGGTAGCTAGCAATTTGCAGAGATTTAAAGATAACATCAGGTAACTAACACTGATCACAATGTCATTTCCATTTCTAAATCTGTAGTGTCCTTTTTCTTACCACTAAGACTTTATACCAATCAGATGTGAACTCACAAAGAACTAAAAATTACCTGCTTGTATTAAGTGGGTAAGAGTGGGAAAGACAGGCAAGACTCAGTGGAAACAGGGCAAGTAGGGAGGAGGGAGCAGAGGCCGAGGAGAAGTTCAGGGAGAGCAGGAGCCTCCAGAGGGGGGCCAGGCAGCAGGAGGGGAACAGACTGGCCTCCGGGAGGAAGTAACAGAGCTGCACCTCCAGAAAGAAGGAAAGAGGACGCTGGAGAGGCGGTTACCGGCGACCCTGACCGAGTCCAGCCTTGTCAGGTCACTGCCAAACTGCTGAGTCCTTTGTAACTCCATGTGGAACATTTATTAGTTCGTGTTTCTAGAATTACCCTTTTACCAAGAAGCAAATAATTTTAAAAGGTCTTCTTAGAAGTTAAATATTACCTATATTTTAAAGGAAGTTAAAAGGGGTTTCTGCTTTCTTCCAGGGTGGGCTGAAAGGTTAGGAGAGTTGCAGTAACAGCACCTTACAGTCATACAGGAATTCTCGGCAAAACCACTAAAATCATGCTCACTTTTATCTTTCTTTAATGCTTATGGACCCAGGAATGTGTTAAATCACGTGAAAGACAAAAAGCAGAAAGCAGTCCCTGCGGGGCGCTCATGCCCTCCACAGGGAGCCAGGGCCACACAGGGGCCTGAGCCACCACCTGAGGAGTGGGTGACGGGGAGTTCAGGGAAGGCGGGACCAACGTCATGCTGTGGTCAGTCTGGCTGGGCCCCAAAGAGTCACCTCACAAGTCAGCACAGGATTTAACTAAGCGCAGAGAAGTGAGGATGGGCAGCCAGGGGAACGGCCTGAGTACCATCAGAAGGACCTGTGGACAACGCAGGATGTGACTCGAAAGACAGAGGGGATAGGGAAGAGCCAGACAGGGAAATGGCATCTGTGGAGTCTCTGTCCCTGAAAAGTCAGAGGAGCCCTAGTAAATACCCATGTCCAGTCTCCTCCAGCTCCACAGAGACAGGAAGTATCGACAGTAGCCTGTCTTTTCAAAGCTTTAGAAGTTTGTCTCATTTTTTCCTTCGGCCAACATCTAGGGACCAGCTACGCTATGCACGCACGGGCTCCCTGACCAGCTCTAAGGCAACATTGCTCTGTCAGGTGGGGAGACGTGACCAGAGGGTGGGGAGGTCCGAGGAAAAAACCAGAAATGAAGAGTTAGTCATTTTATAGAATCAAATACAATATAAGTAAACACTATGAAGAGCATCACAGGGAAACTGGACCAAACCCAGAGGACCGGACAGAACTCCGAGGGGGTAGTGCGGACGGAGCGCAGGGGATGAGGGGGCCAGAGCGGGCAGAGGCCAGGGGGCACAGGTCTCAGTGGCCAGGGAACATGTCTCAGTGGCCGAGGGCATAGGTCTCAGAGGGTGGGGGACACAGGTCTCAGTGGCCGGGGAGGGATACAGGTCTCAGTGGCCAGGGGCACACAAGGAGCCCCGACTGAGGAGCAGGCCCCTGGGGGAGGGGGACAATAAGCAAGGAGCGGCGAGGACACAAGAGGTGGGGGCAAGAGCCAAGAGTGCCTTGCCCGCAGCCTCACTGCCCGTCCAGTCTTCATTCTTAAGGCCGGGCAGGAGCACAAGCTGCAAATCACAGGGAAGCCTGGGAGGCCTGCAAGTACCGGGATGGAGTAAAATCCCTTCAAAGGTAAGACAGTGAAAGGTAAGGCAGCCCCTCAGTCCAGGTGAGCCTGACGCTGGGTCACGGATCTCCGTACTCTCCGGCACACACGGGGCAACGCATTCTACAGCTTAGGGGAAAACGGCCTCTAAGCTCTAAGAAGGAGGGAAATGCTTCTTACCTTTGGACTGCTGGCCTGAAGGAAAAAAAGGTGAAGTATAATCTGATCGTATACTCCAGAGATTTTTGTGTTTATTTTTAAAAAACAAAGATAAATTCATCACCTACAAATATGTATATAGCTTAAGAAGATATCATATTTGCATAAAAGGGGAATTTTGAATCAACAAAATATAATTTAAAAAAATTTAAACCTATTATCTGATTTTTAAAAGACCAATGAAATTGAATAGAAGCCCCAAAGAGATTTAAACATTGCACTTAGAGAAAATTAATTTACTGAAATTGATTGAAATAATTGGACTATATTATCTATATGCTGCTATCATACTAACTGTATCTTGGTGCTTTGGTGAAGAGGGAGAAGGCTCATTTTCAGGAGAGCAGGGTTTTGAGGCAGGTGGAGAGTCCTACAAGAAATAAGTAATGAAAACCGTTACTCTATTTCATATGATTATATTCCTCCCTCCACTCACAGTGGGAGAGCTTAGGAAGGGTGGCTAAGAAAACTTTTTCCTAGTTATTTCCCTTCTCTGTTCAGCTCTGAAACTAACATGGTACAGATGTGAAAACTCAGATGTCATAAAGTTTATAAAATACGGCATAATTTACACCAATTACAGGTAAATTTGAAATCTGCACATGGAATTACTCAAAAGAAATGATGCATGTTCCCTTAAAAGCACGATGCTGTATCAGTATGAACTAACCATATTTAAAATAGGTGAAAACCAAACACTTGTCGATAAAAATGCAACAGTCAGCACGCTAACGTGCTCCTGGCACAGGGGGTATGAATACCAGGACTAGACAAGGAACAGCCACAGGAATTAACTGGCGACTGCCAGAAAGAGACTTTTATTTTAGTCAACAGCTATGTAAGAAATTAAACTATTAATATTTAATGTAACTTATACCTAACTTTTCAATTTCAGAAATAAGCAAGATTTTTTTAAACACAAAGAATTCTCAGATTTACACATTAATAATTCACCAGGAAAAAAAAAGAACTACTTTAATGTCTAAGCCTAAAAGAATATAATGGGGCAAACCAATACTGCGCATTTTAAAGCAATTCTGCTTTGTCAGTATTAAAACACGGTGCGTGATTCCCACCACAGATGTCTGTGAGACTATTCATGGAGGATAAGACTGAGAAAAACATTTATTTGGTTAGCAACAGCCAAGTTCCATTTCACTTTTCTCCATTCTCTTAGATACTTTGAATAATTTCAGGAAAAGAAAATGAGAAAAACCATATCCTAATAACTATTATTAATTTTCCTATAAAATCAAGTAATTTCGTTGAAACTTCATCTTCACATCTGTATCATCTACTTTCCCACACGTATGGAACTGACACGGCACTGCTGACAAGCCTGAGAACTATGTTAAATCACAATACAAAAACCAGTACTCAGTATCCATTTACTTAAAAAACAAGTCTTCAGGTTTGTACCTTGTACAATTTTAAATACAGAAACTAGGTAGCAGTGAAAGTTTACAGGGAAAATCCTTAAAGGCACTACCTTAAAATCAAACATCCAAGGCCAACACTATAAATGGAGAAAACATTAAAATCATGTCAAATATAACTTTATAAAAAGAAATTACACTTAATGTCCAAATCTCAGTTTAGCCTCATTTAAATATTTTTTTCTGATAGCATCAGATGTTTCACTTTTTAATTTTTGCCTTCTAAGGAGTGTCTAATATTAAAACAGTCTGATAAAAAGAGGAAAGATTTGATGACCCATAAACTAGAAAATAAGTAGCTGAATAAAATGAATGGCAATTATGATTTATTTTTCATAGCATTATTGGACCTATAGAAATAAAACCCACAACAAATGGAGTAATAATGTAAATATAACAATTATGATTAGAAACAAATTTATATGTATATTTATAAATGTATATGCATATATAAATACATCTTAAATGTCTACAAGTAGCAGGAGTTAGTAAAAACCATACACAGGCAGAAACAGACGTACCCACACCCACACACAAAGCCCTACACACACCTACCTCCTCCAAGGTCATCTGGCAATTGAATTAGAACCTGCGTCATCATGGCAACGTTTGCTACAACACATAGTATCAGGTTTCTGTGATTACGTTTCAGGGTATATAAATGTGACCCCTTAATCTTAGTCAGCTGGTCTATTCTGGCAAAGACCCTCTTCTGTAACCTCCAGTCTTAAACACGTATATACTCAGTGACAATGGTAAACAGAGGAGTTTACTTGGTGAAGCAATCACCTGTGATTCACCATCTATGATTCCTTTTATAAAGGGTAGGGGGTAAAAGATATTCTTCCCCAAAGAAAGTAAATCTCTAGTCTCAAGAAAATCATGTTATCACAACTCTGAAACAATTAGATGAAAAAGGATATGTAACAGGAACGTCATACAAGTTATTCTAATAATAGACTGAAAATGAATCTCAAGAAAGATTATAAAGGAGTAAGAAATTCTGAGTCTACATCACCAAAATAGCCATCCTTTTGTTCTGGTACCAAGAGTTAGCGGAGCTGGTTCAGGAACGGCATTTGCATTAGAGCATTCATTCCGTACGGTATAGGAGCCTCTGTAGACACTGAACTGTAATCTGGCTCTCGGAGTTAAATGAATTTTTTCTTTAAAATCTCTAGGACTGTTACCTACACAGGTTAATCTCAAAGTTAATGCAGTCTCAGGGATTCTTCAACAGCAGACTCCAGAATTTCTTTCCTTTAATATGCCCTCTCTATTCCACCAGGTAACATCCTTACAAACAGAAATCAGAAGTACTTGTTTTGCTTATTGATCAAGATAATTTAGAAAGGAATTTATGACTGAAAGTATCCAAACACAGAGAAGTACGCCTCAGAAGAGTTCATCTTGTTTCACTAACATACCTAAGAATGCAGGAACCTATTAATTACACAAAAAGAGAAGCCTGATGGTAAAATAAAAAAAGAGACTCCAATGACCAGTATTTGAGTTTCAGGGTGTTACTGCCACCCTCCCATTTTAACATTAGTGTGTCTGTTGTTCAGCAAATTCGTCCTAATTTCCTAGTCTAACCACAAAATGAAGCCACAATGTAAAGATGTTAACTCACAAGAAAAGTTAAAAACTTTATGGCTTTTCCAGTCTCATGTTTGCAACAAAATTCCTCCCGTTTGAAGCAGAAAACATTGCGTCTCAGGTAAAAGCAGCACTTTGTGCAGAGAGCACTTAGGGCCTCAGAGGGAGCAGGAATCCACCCTGCCCTGCAAGGGGAGAAGGTAATGACACGTCTACTGTTGAACCTCCCAGAGACTGGAGACCAACAGTAACAGGCGTGTGACTTTAAAATAAGACTATCAAAATGCCCTGTGACCTACTAGGCCCAAATGTGTAACGTTAGACATCATCACGCCACACGTCAGTCAGCCCATTGTGCAAAAATCAAAAAACTTCAAAACCAAACCCCACTCAGGAGTAAAGTGACACGACATACAACACTGGTCACCTAGGTATCAGATTCGACTAAGGAGTAAATGAAATGATACAAAATAAAGAACATGCCAGAACACTGCACAGATGCCCTCGGGAAGTCCTACCTTGTCGTTGGTGTCCAACACAATGGTGCTGTGTCTCCACTTTGTTAACACTATCGGTTCTTGCAGCCGCCTGTCCAGACTCCGACTTTTAATTATTTCTCTTTGCTGCTGAGATGAAGCATTATACTAAAGAAAACAAAAGTATACCTTGTAAATAATAGGAACAAAAGAGGAATCCAAACATGCTGGCTCCAAATGACACGTGGCGTTAGGCGAAGCTCACCACATGACACCAACCTAAGTGTTCTCATCTCTGACCAGTACTGTAGCTCAATCAAGATCACAGATTTATATGGTGGACAGGCCACATTAATGTCATCGTTTGGAAAAACACTTAATCTCCCAAAGTCTAAGTTTCATCAACTGTAAAACAGATACAACAGAAATTTTACCTCATTCACAGTTACAGGATTGAACAGTGAAAGGAGTGCCAAATGTTACCCTGATAGGTTCTCAATGACATTAATTATTACAATTTATAAAATGAGGTCACCGAACAAATTAATTTTCGAAGGTGCCTTCTACTTTGAAAATCCACAGGAATTCAACTTTTGGTTTAGGTTTTTAAATGATGCTTTCATACACAACAGTATTCTCACATTTAAAGGAGTTTTTGTTTGTTTTTACTCTTTCACTTGCAGGCCAAACACACTATTATTTGTTTCTCACAACATAACCAGGTCAAAAGCGAGAGATGGTACTAGTGCCTAAGACCAACCCTGAATATATCAGCTGTGTACAAAGGATGACTGCCAAGAGAAAATTACATATAAATAAGGTATCAAGTCCTGTGCTTGAAATGTCAAGTAGATCACCAAGCGTAAGCACTGATAACGGTGAGGTTTTTAAGAGTTATGCTGTTCTATACAGGCAATCTGAATAAATTATACATAATAACTTACAATAAAATGACAAAAGAAAATCCATCTACTTTTTAAGAGATCCATTCTTCTCCTAAAACCAAAGGATACCTAATATCTACTTCTCTAAAAAACCCCAGTAAATCTTAAATTTTAATGATTCATTGTAATTTCAGTAAAATTATACTATTATATACTATACTAATAAATTTCAATATTATATATTTTTTAATATTAAAAAATCTCCAACATCTTTCCCCACAATATGCCACTTCTGCCCTTAGCCAAATGAGTCCATACAGGTCTCCCAAACTGTATCCCAAAGCTGTTACTTCATCTTCCACATTAAAATCTGCCAAAGCTAAGCCATCACATACGGACGTGTGCTTTTCATTCACTGTCGCTCAACAAACAGCAACCTTAAAATCTGTTGGAGAAGTTCACAAAGGGATCATTTCTAGAACAAAGAAAGATGGAGCTTCAAGGCTTCCCCCAAAAATTCTGTGCCATAAATCTCTAAGTGAAGAGAGACCAGCGATTAAGCAGAGCTACATTTTCCCTTCAATACAACCATCGTTAGCAACAATCAGAACGTCTGGTCACTGTGTGTAAGCTCAGGTAGCTTATGAGATTTGTAATTACCACAGCTGTTTAGAAATCCTTTCCATGGGGCAGAAAAAACAATGTAAAATTAAACTGGGTAATAATCACAATTCTAAAGGTGCTGCGTTCATAACAATGTCCATAAATGCAAATAAAGCATAAATAAACTGCCCGATATAAAATCTAGTGTAGACAGAAGGAAAAAATAAAGTGTCACACAGAGAAAAGAGGACACACTTCACACACACAGTCTAGTTACACAAGATGGCTAAAACTTTTAACATTTTTAAAATCCTTTTTAAAAACACCTTTTCTCTTTTAAGAATTTTTAATTGCTTTTTCATTTCAATTATTTCAAACACACAATAAAACAGCAACTATAATGAAAACCCCCATCGAACTTGAGCACATCTAACATAAGACAGGCACCTTGTTTTCTTTTTAAGAAATGAAACGTCAGAGTCTTCTGAATACATCTTCCAGATTCCACCCCCCTCCCCAGTACCACCTAATTCAGTGTTCATCATTCTCACGCGTCTCACACTTTAGTATGTATGTATGCGTCCATAAATACTTACTACCTGTGGGGTTTTAAATTTTAAATAAATGGAATCATATCACATGCATCAATCTTCAACTTGCTTTTTCACTCAATATGTTTTTATTAAAAAAAAATAATAACGCCACTGTATTCATGTTGGTGAGTATCCAGCTCTAACTCACGTGCTTCACTTCTACGTAACACCACATTATATGCAGACACCACAACTTAGCCACTCAGTTGTACGTGAACATGTCCAAGGTGGTGGCACTAATCACACTCCTACGGCAGAACATTAACGCTCTGCACTTGATGCCACCGAATTTACATGCGTTTGTGTATATAAAACAAACGTATGTACATACACACAAATTTTTAAAAAACCTATCTGAAAAGTGAAATGCTAACTCACTGTTTTCATTTACATTTTCCTGACTATTTATAAATTTGAACACCTTTTCAAATACTTAATGTAATTCCTCTCCTCTGTATCGCTTAATATTTCTGCCTATTTTCAACTAGGTTCTCTCTCACCCCTACTGGTCCGTACAGAGGAACCAGGAAGCTCTGTCTGTATTTTGGCTCCTGAGCCTTTGTTCGCTATGCGAGTTGAATGTATCTCTTCCCAACCGCAGCGGGCATCCTCCCCTCTCGTCAAAGGTGTTCTGTTTAACTTCATGTACCCACATCTGTCGACCTTTCCTTTTATGCTTTTTTCCTTTTACAGCCTTGTTTAAGAAATCCTTCCCACTCTGCAGTCAAATACCCTTCTACAGCCTTTTAGGTTTTGCTCATTACACTTACAACTGTCACCTACCTGGAATTAACCATTAAGTGTGAAGTGAGGTCAAGTCCTACTTTTATTTCATTTTTCTCATGTGAGTAACCAAGTCTTAGCAGCATTTACCGCACAGTCCACGCTTCTCCCCGATCTGTGCGGCCACATCTGAGCCTCCACTCTGCCCTCCTGGTCTGCCTCTCCACACCTGGCCCTCGAGACCACAGCTCCATCACTGCAGCCGGAACCCCAGACCTCACAGGCCCTTCATCTTCAGGTAGAAGACCTTGCTCTCGTACTGGAAGTCGTTGCAGTTCTTGATGAGGAACTTTTCCAGGGGGGCCAGCAAGTCGTTGCACAGCGACTCCAGCTCCTTCTCGATCTTCTCCCGGTAAGTCTTAACCTTCTCCAGCTGCTTCTCGTTTCCATCGGCCATGGTCTTCTGCTCGATGCTGCTGATGACCCGCCAGGATGACCGCCAGGCCGCGACCACGTTCTTGTAGGCCACGGACAAGAGGTTGCGGTATTCGTTGGAGAGAGGCTCGTTGAGCTCGGTCGCCGCCTTCATGGCGGAGGCCATGTCGTCGTAGCGCTCTGCCTGCTCGGCCAGCCGCGCTCGCTGCAACAGCTGCTCGCGGTCCCCATGTCGCTGTAGCCCGGCCTCGCTTCGTGCCCCACTCGCTTGCTCGCCCGCCCCTCTGCTCCGGGTCGCCGCGGAGGCCGCCGCCGCGCAC